GCCAGGAGGGTCTCAGCACTGACACAGCCATGTTGTGGTGACCCCAACCCAGTGCGTCCCCAGACCCCTGCGTTTCACCATGCAGCTACAGCCCTGACACCAGCATGCCCGGCTCCTCGCGGCAGAAAGCTGGGATGTGCCGCGGCAAAGCCATGGTGCCACTGCCATCTCGTGGAAGGCGCAGCAGAACCGGAGCTGGCGTGGGGACGGGCAGCGGGCTGGGAGCCACCGGCTCCCCCATAAAAGGTATTTCGATGCTGTCAGGTATCAGAAGCATCACACCAAAACACTGCAGAGGAAAGGGAAGTTTGTTTCCCACCGATCACAAAAAGGGGGATTTGATGGAAACAAGCCAGAGAGGATTTCCAGGAGCCCGGGGCACTGACACAGCTCAATTCCCTACTATTGCAGGGGAATTCTGCAAGTTAAAAAGTGAGGGCTGAATTCAACTCAATGGAAACTTGTTTCACTCCGGTAATTCATAAACTAGCCCACTGAAACTCAGCAAAGTCGTGTTTTTTCCCCTGAGCAGACACCAGTGCCACACTCTATATTTTAAATGTCAGCGATCTGGAAAACACTCACTCAGCGACGGCGTGGGAGGCTTCTGCGACTTGTCCCTGTCTTTACGTAGGCTCTCTGCAGCAGTTACAAGATGTTCTTCCAAATCAGTGGAAACATGGAATTGGACAGTCCCGGCCTCCACGTGCTTCCCCTGAAATTGGAAACGAAATCCTTTCAGACAGCGTGCTACACGCAGCCTCCCTCATACCTCAGAGACGATCCCTTCGCCCTGCAACTGGAGAATCAGCGATGCAAGCCGGAGGCAGAGCTGGCATGGGCTTGGGCTTTAATAAGCTGATCACATACCTCTGTCCTTACAGAGACAAACACATACCTGCCAGCTCCCCCCACTGTGAGATTTCACTGAGCAAGTTCTGAAGATGCTCATCCACCCATCCATCCATCCATGCATCCATCCATCCCTGCGGCAGGCAGCAGCCCGTGCAGCTCAGCACCACGCCTGTATTTCAGCCACCCCCCCGTGACTCCTCTGCCCCATCCCTACCCTCCTTTCGCTGATCAATACTTTGGAGCGGGGTCTTTATCTTTTGTGTGTGCATCGCCTTCAACAAGCCAGCTCAAGTCACGGTGGCCTCCAAGACGTATCGCGATAAATCACCGTGCTGACCAGCTCGGTGACAGCTAAATCTGCACATCAGCAGCAAAGTCGAGCAGCACTGGACACCGAGCGTGCTGTTTATCTGTTCATCTACCATTGCACACGCTTGCTGGCAGGGGTGGGGGCCTGTCCCCCCCTTCCCATGCCTCTTCCATCACCTGAAGGTTTGCAGAGAGCTTCTCCATCGCCTGGGTGCTTACAACAGTTTTGGTAAAGAGCCTCTCTGACCAGCAGTGTCCCCGGTGTTTCTGTCGCAGAATCGAGCCCTTACCTGGCTGCCGCTCGGCGGGCTGCGGTACACCAAGGCTTGGCAGGGGTTGTGGTGGGGGCCACCACGCAGGGGCAGGACCACGTCCTCCTCGCCGGTGCCCAGGACGGGGCTCCAGACTGCCCAGCGCACCGAGCGCATGTCAGCCGCCTCGCCGCCGGCGCTGCCAGGCAGGACCTGGGGGAAGAACAGGAGGGAGGAGTACGGCGAGATGAAGCCACCAGCACCCAGCCGAGGGGCTGAACCCCCCGCCCAAGCAGAGGCATTAGGGGATAGATGTCTGACCCCCCCATCCGGGAGAGGCAGCATAAAGGCTTCCGCTTACCCGGGCGCATCCACAGTCCCCCTCAAACCGAAGGGGAGGCGCAGAAGCAAACCGAGAGGTCTCTACCTGCGCCCGCCACCGCCTGCACAGCTCGCTAATTATGGCACAGAGGACGCGGCGGTCAGCTCAGCAAAGCAGCTTTGGGATTAACCGCTCTGTCCTGCGGGAACTGGCTCCACTGCCCCCCGCACGCACATCCGTGTCTGCAGCCCCAAACCTCCGCAGGTCCCTGGGTTTCAGCTTTTTAAGGAGTTGAACCCAACACAGCTGCCGACAGCAAGGCTCAGCCGCTCCTCCCTGCCCCAACACAAACCCCTCTGCCCTGGCGCACGTATCCCGCTTTATAAATTCCCATTTTCCCTCAGTTTTGCTCCGACAAGAGAGGACACTTGCTGCATTTTCAATGAGCATCTGAGCAGGACAATTAAGGCCTCCTAACTAACCCAGGGCCAAACAGCTCCTAAACTGGGTTTAACCTGCAGGAAGGTTAAACTGCAACACACGTAAATGAGCGGTAAGTAGGTGTTAACGAGCCTGGTCTCTGCAGTCAATAGAGAGACTTCTGGCTTTAAGGTCTGGAGAACACCAGGCTCAGGCTCCCGGAAAAGCCCCAGCATTCAGGAAACAAAAAAGAGCAGGAGGGGTTAACTTCTTTTCAGTATAAATGTTAAATTCTACAGAAAAGCCTTTTTCAGATTAAAAAAAAAAGCTGAAATTTTCCAAATTAACTTGCCAGAACACTGCGGGACTGCTGCAGGCTACATTTCTCCATATACACACACATGGTGCAGAACTGTAACCGCACATAATTAAAGTGATTCAATAAACCCATTTGCAGGATACTCCATGCAGCGCTGCAGAAAGCACCTGGACACTTTACAGGACCCTTCACACAGGGTTCGTACTGGGGGTGTGTGACCGTGAAAAGGGGGCAGAGGACAGAGCTGCTCCCCCGGCAGCAGAGCTCAGCTCTTTAATACCGGATGGAGAGGATGCTCAGCCCTACCTTCCCACCGGCTCTCCCCGCCGCACAGAAGACGTACTCCAGCTGGAAGCAGACCCCGAACGCCGGGTGCGGGACCATCTCGCTCAGGTGGATGCGGCTCCTCAGGACCAGGGCTTGACCTGCACCCCTGCACCGGAATGGAGGAGCGGCTGTCGGCAGCACCCACGGCAGGAGGGAAGTGGCACCGGCAGCGGGGGCTCTGTCCCTTACCTGGCTCCGGAGCTGGGCATCACCTCTGCCTCCGGCACCAGCACAGCCACCTGCGGCGCCTGGACGAAGCGCAGCCCGTTGTGGACACCAACGTGCAGCCGCCGCTCCCGAACTGCCACCCCGTCACCATCCGGCGCAGCGTTAGCCTGCGGCAGGAACATTTCCCAGCTCAGGCGGGTGGCACGGGGCAGCACAGCATCCCTGCCTGCGCCACCCGCCACCAGGACAACCCAGGCGATCCCTCAGAAACCAGGACCTGCCCCCTCAGTGGCTGATGGATATTAAGATCTCTCCTCTTTATGGCAGAGTTGGTGCAAATCTGGCAAATAAAGGGCTTGGCCAGGGGTCCTTACTGCAGACCGAGCTCTGCTGTGCCTAAAGACCCATACTCAGCACACACTGCGCCTTCTCTTTGCATTTTCCACAGCAGAGCAAACCCAGACTCTGCCTGTTAGCGCCTGGATGTTCCAAGCAAAGCCCACACACAGCACCTCTGCGCTAATCCAGCAGTAACACAAGCAAAAGCCTCGCGCAGCAAAAAATCAGAGAGTTCAAGCGAAATAAATACACAAGCGCCACATATACGAATGTTTCCGCTCTGCTCAAAACCAAAGCATCGGTGTTACTGCTCGCGCCCTGTGCTTCCCCTGCCATAACGGCACCGGCAGTACCTTCAGCAGGCGATCGCTGTTCAGTAGGTCCAGCAGCTCTTCCTCGAATTCCTCCAGGGAAGGGTACAGCCGGACAGAGAGCCTCTCCAGGTAGCAGGTGACCGGCTTCATCAGCCGGGGCTTCTGCAAGCGGTCACCTGGGAAGACAAGGTGGTGGCCACAGGTCACACCACAGCCGGGGGGACACCATCAGACCCGCACAGGCACCTGCTGCCGGACCTGAGCCAAAAGCAGCCTCGGGAGAGGTCGTGGTGGCGCGTGGGATCTCCAGCATCCCTGCCACATACACACCTTTACACCTGGAGAAACTTAGGAATACCCAACACCGTTGGTGGCAATGGACACAATCCGTTTACTTAGTAAATCTGTTTATTTAATGGCACTGGCTCTCTCCACCTCCCCTTTTCAGTGGTGGTCTGCAGCACCAGGGACTCGGCTGCTTTGGGACCTCGCTCAGCGTTAACACCAACCGTCACAACCCCAAAATCACTCACAACCGGTCTGCCAGGTAGGAAGCTGAGGAATAATTCAGCTGGAGAACTGAGAGTACTCTTTACCCTCTGAAGCTTGAGATCACACAATTTTAATCGCAGCAGCTCCAACAGCAAGGCTGCTGCCCACAGGGAGAGATTAACAAGGGCTGCAAGAGCTCGGCCCCCCAAAACCTGCCAGACCCCCGCCACCAAGGAGGGTGACTTTAAACATGCTGCAAGAGCTTCTCCTGACTCT